TCCTGTACTGATAGCTATACCTCAGTGATTTCTGGGAGAAAATAACACTCATAATCAACCACCTTTTCTAGAAATCCTCACTCTCCTAATTTTGTAATAGATCTTTTTTACTGGTCAACTTTGTTGCTTATAGTTGCATACATATCTGTACAACTTTCTTAACCCATTGATTTTTCCTAAGAAAGGTTAGTCTTTTGGTGGTATGGTGAGGATGTTCATGAGCTCATGTCATTCTTGATTTGTTTGCTATTAGTGTTAATAAGGGTGGGCCAAAGAGCCTAGGAAGTAATTCTTTGGTGGTTATTTAAAACAATGAAAAAACAGAAAAAAAATAAGGAAAAAATATTTTTCCTCTTACATTAAGACTGTAGCTCTTGGTATAAATTCTAGTAATAAATTACTTCATTGAAGTCATGTAGTTTATGATGTTCCTTGGCAAGAAAATCTTGAAAATATTTTACTGTTAAGAAAATTTCACACTAAGCCATATTTCAAAAAGTCATTAGTAAAAGTTCTGGAAAAAGAACAGTCACTGTACTGATACACTACTAAAAGATATATTGCTACTATTTTAGATGATTTAGTTGTGCCAATTATATGGGCTTTTTTTGAGTTATGGCCTACATGATTTCCAGTGAAACTTTGATTTAAATTTTTTTTTTTTTTATTTTTTGACAGGCAGAGTTAGACAGTGAGAGAGAGACAGAGACAGGTCTTCCTTCCGTTGGTTCATTCCACTAATGGCCGCCATGGCCGGCGCTGTGCCGATCTGAAGTCAGGAGCCAGGTACTTCCTCTCGGTCTCCCATGTGGGTGCAGGGCCCAAGGACCTGGGCCATCCTCCACTGCACTCCCGGGCCACAGCAGGGAGTTAGACTGGAAGAGGAGCAACCAGGACTAGTACCCGGCACCCCAACTGGGACTAGAATCCGGGGTGCTGGCGCCGCAGGCGGAAGATTAGCCTAGTGAGCCATGGCGCCAGTCCAAAACTTTGATTTTAAATGTAAACATTTATTTACACATTTAATTCACTCCTAACATAAATATTAAGTTCTGTGTTCTTGTAATTTTTTTTCTTTAAATGTTAGAATTCATCTGTAAATAAGCACATTCTGCATTGAATTTAATACAGTAATTTTCATCACAGTGTTTTGTGACAGCATTTCTGTATACTGAATGATGAAAAAGTAATTAATAACGAATTGAAACACAGACTGCAATAGAGTTTCTCGAAGTGAAACATTTCAAATGTTCTGGTTTTTGCAAGAGTGCTTACTGCCTGTATAGGAGTTTTCCTTGCTTATAATTTTGTCAGCAGCAAAAGAGTAGTGTTTTAGATAATTCAATGCAGCAGTAGTCCAGAATTTAATTTTTTGACTTTTAAATTATTTTAGAATTTGTGTTAGAAAATTGCTGTGGCTGGAATAGATACGTGCAGTGTTTTCTATAATGCAGTAAACCATACAGTAATGTCTTTGTCTTGACATAACCTACAAATTCCCCAGCTGTTTGTTTATTTCTGTTTAGTGCCTTCTTTGTTCCTCATCTCTTCTTCAGTAATCTGAAGCAGTAATGGTTGATAGAAACCTCTCAGCTGCAAACTGTCTAAAACAAAACTCTTGATTTCTTTATCATTGCCATGTTCAATCTAATTTTGTCTGGGATATAATAATTTTGTCTTAAAAGATTTTCACTTTTTGGAAATATTCAATTACCCTTTGCCTCTTACTTACCAGCCTGATCTGCTGTATAGCACCTGCTTTTCTTTATGGACATAACCATAAATTAAAATTTGAGGGTAAATTAAAAATTACAATCTGATGTGATCAACAAAGTAGAAACTGGGCTGTTTACTCATTTCTGAAGCTTTTGTGTATATGATAATGCCAACTCTTTTGTGGGCCGGGGAGCAGAGCTAATGGATCTATACATCATCTTTGAGAAGTTTCACGTTGTAATTTGGTTAGGGGGTAGTGGAGAGGGAGATAGGTCACACATTGCAATGGATTGTGATAAGTTTTGTGATTTAGAGTTATTTATTTGAAAGACACAGTTACAGAGAGAGGGAGGAAGAGACAGAGAGAGAGAGAGAGAGGGGAGAGAGATCTATCTTCCATCCCTCTGGTTCAGTCCCCAAATGGCCACAACTGCTGGGGCTGGGCCAGTCTGAAACCAGGAGTCCGGCGCTTCTTCTAGGTCTCCCACGTGGGTGCGTGGAGCTGCAGCACTTGGGCTATTTTCTGCTGCTTTTCCAGGAGCAGTAGCAGTGAGCTGAATTGGAAGTGGATTAGCTGAGACATGAATTGGTACCCTTACAGGATGCCGGTGTTGCAGGTGATAGCTTTACCCTCTATGCCACAATGCTGGCCCCAAGTTTTGTGATTTAGATAAGGAAAGATTGTCATGGGAGTACATATAAAGATCATTTAATCAGAGTTGGAAATATTGAGAAATGCTTCCAGGAGCAGGTCATATCTGAATTGAGTCTTGTGCCAAGAAGAAAAGAGAAGCCTGGAGAAAGACAAGGATGATATGGATAGAGAGCTAGGAGGTAAGCACTGAAGGAAGTAATGGCAATCGTGTTTAGGATCCTAACATGTTCCAAACTCTGTATTAAGAGCTATGAAGCACTTACTTCCCAGTACCTTTTAGTCTGTAGTGTGCAAATGAGGAAGCTGAGAGTTACAGCTTTGCTGAGGTCATGATGTAGTTGAGTGGAGCTAGCTTTAAAAACCCTAGCTTTCCTGGCTTTTGTCTAGGCTGTTTCTTCTCAGAAAAAGGACTGTTGGACATGGAGGAGATAGTTACCACACTGTCGAAAGGACAGGTGTGTAGGCTGAGTTCTGAGAAGTTTCCAGGACATTAATAGTGACTTGTTACTCATTCAGTAAATATTTACTGAGATCCTCTTATGTGCCAAAGACTGTGCTAGGCGTCAGGAGCAAAGTGGCAAATACCGAACTTGTGGCTGTAGAGAATGAAAGAACGACATTGAGTCAAATTTTAATTTGAAAAAGCTTGTTGGAAAGGATAAGATAGTGATTAAGTAGTAAATGTAGGGGAAGTCAATAGTTTTTTTATTTTGTTTTGTTTTAATGTAAAATGTTAAAAAAGAAAGAAAGTGGAAACAGTATCATAGTACACTGAAGAGAAAGAATTATAGCAGGGGAAAGGTTGAAGATGTAAGAGAAAGGAACCTTGGATCCTGCATGTTTGAGTAAGTATATTGCGAGATGAGCCATGACTTTGTATTGGGCACAGAATTTCAGCATGATTACCCTGCTCTTGACTGAGCAATGAAACCTCTTCCTCAAGTGATGACTGTGACCCCCTGTGTCTGATTTATGTTTGCCTCTTCATGATCTCTCAGTTATTCTATCCATTTCCCTATCACAGCATTTGTTCTATTGAATTAGACCCATTGATGTCTCTTAGGCAGGAGGATGAGTAGAGACTGTGCGTCTGATACAATTTCACTTCAGTAAGTGCTTATTGTATCAATGAATCGCTGAATGACTGAGTTTCTTTTTTGATCATTTCTGAACAGCAGCTGTATTTTTTTTTAAGTTTTAAGAGTTAAATGATACATAGTTATTCTATGAAGATTTTGTTGTCTTTTATAAATTAAGAACATAACTGTTTAAGGTATGCCCAAATATAGATAAAAGAGGACTTTTAATATTTTTGGTTACTGAAAGGACCTCATTCTTTAATTTAAAGGAAATTTGTAGTGATTATTTTATATATAGCTTACAGTATGCTTCAAAATAATTTTTATATTAAGGTGTGGTAAAAATGATGTCCTAATTTAATTATCTTCAGTTTTGATTGTCTACTTTTTGTCAGATTTTTCTCTAGGTAGAGTAAGATTGAAAAATTAAGTTATAAGATAGAGCAAAATTTTAGTTCAATTATAGTTTTATTATTTATTATAAGGTGAACAGTGTTTCATATACAATATTTATTTTAAACTTATCAGCAATCAAAATTGTTAGGGAGCTTTTATCTTTTATTGTATTGAATTTTTTTCAAATTTTTCTTTTTTTAAAATCTCATTTGAGAGACAGAAAAAGAGAGAGAGAGAGAGAGACAGAGGGAGACAGAGAGAGACCGAGAGAGCCAGCCAGCCCATCCACTGGTTCATTCCTCAAATTCCCGTGACAGCTGGAATTGAACCAAGGCTGAAGTTGGTAGTTGGGATCTCAATCCAAGTTACCCATGTGGGTGGCAGGAAGTTAATTACTTGAGCTATCACTGCTGCCTTTTAGGGTCTGTATTAGCAGTAAGCTTGAGTCAGGAGCAGACAGTACTTTGTATTGAACCCAGGCATTCCTTTATGGAATGCAGATATCTTAACCAGTAACTTAACTGCTAGGCCACATGCTTGTTCCTGATAGGGCATTTTTAAATGCCAATTGCAATTAGTAGTGGTTTAATCTGTTCTTTTTTAGTAGATTCTTTTTGATTTTTATTAAAGTTATACAGTTCTTTAACCTTAGGCATCAAAGTATACTTAATTTAAACAAAGTCAAATTAATTAAATTGAAGAGTCTCTCCATATATTTATTTATATTTATTTATTCTGGATTTTTTGATATTAGCTTTTGATGCTTCCTTTTGTTTTCCATGAGCTGTGATTTAAAGGGAAAATAAATCCCTAATTTCTCTTAATGATTTATATTATCAGCAACTACTGATTTTTTTATGTTTGGGTTAAGTTAAAAATTCAACTTATATTAAAAAAAATTCTTATAACCTAGGGAGTTTGTTAGATTTTTTTATTTTTGGGATTTAGGATTATATCAAGAAGAACAATTGTAGACTTTCTAGAAATGCAAAAAAAGAGAAATATTTTCACTTTTTTGTTGTTTTCTTTAAGGTTTTTGTGGGAAAATTTGGTGATGTGATTTTTAAAAGTTTACCTTTCCTTTGAATTTGCTGTGTAATTCTTCCTCAATACACTATTTTATTTATTTATATCATGGAACTTTCTATTTTCAGAATCCTGTCCGAAAGATTCCTGACTCACATGAGATAACATTGAGGCATGGCACAAAAACAGTAAGTTATAAAATTAGATTTTTCTCTCAATAACTGAGCTGTCATGGAAAAATGAACTAATAATATATATTTGTGTTAAGGCTAATTACACAGTTGATGTCATAAAAGTATAGATATTAAAAGAACAGAAAGATTAAATTTGGTCAAAATAACCATTGTCTTTCATTTAAAGTAGGAATACTTATTGCCATTGTTTGCTTATTATACCTTCTTTTCACATTGTGACTAGAAGAAGGGAAAGAAACTCAAATACAGTTTTTTTAATGGTGTGGAAAAACTTCTTAAATTCCTTAGACTTATTTATGTATCAGTGAAAGGCATGAATTTGCTCATTTAAAAAATTTTTTTTCTTATTTTTTAATTTTTTATTTATCTTTCCCCCCAAAGAAACCTTTTATTTAAGGAATATATACTTCATGCATTTCATAAGTACAACTTTAGGAGTATAGTGTTTCTTCTCAACATATCTGCCCTCCCGCCCATGAGTTTGTTCATTTTTCAGATGAAGGTTCACATAAGAAATTAACCTTAGAAATATCACTGTATTGCTATAGATTATATTACTTAGTATATGGATTACATTTTTATAGTTATATTTAATTATGTTATTTCAAATTAGTGTATAAGAGATATGATGGAATTATTGTATGTTATTGCAAAACCATTAAAAATGATTGACTGCATTATAAAGATGCAAATGAAATTAGAATATAAAATTATCTTTTCCCTTTCAATGGAACTACCTTTTTTTAGATGTCTGGCATGTAAAGAAGTAACAAAATACAATCCCATATTAAGAGGGAAAGCATCAATTGAGATAGAACCAGAAATGACACAAATAATAAAATAGATTTGGATTTGAAATATTATTCTCCTAAAATATTTTATTTCAGGAATATTGTTTTCATAAAAATATTTATGTTAACTACAATGAGTTTATTATTTCAAATGGAATGAAAATGTCTTAGTTTTAATTTCTAATGGTTAATATTGATACACAAAACTCACCTAAACAAAAGCCATTTGGGCTCATCAGTAGATTTTTTTCTTTTATTTTTTTAAGATTTATTTATTTATTAAAGATTTATTTATTTATTCGAAAGGCAGATACAAAGAGAGAAAGAGAGAAAAGAGAGAGAAAGAGAGATCTTCCATCCACTGGTTCACTCCCCAGATGGCTACAACAGCCAAGGCTTTGCCAAGCCAAAGCCAAGAGCCAGGAGCCAGGAGCTTCTTCTGAGTCTCCACATGGGTAGCAGGGGTCCAAGCACTTCCACTGCTTTCCCAGGCACATTAATAGAGAGCTGGATCAGAAGTGGAGCAGTCGGGACCCAAACTGCCACCTATATGGGATGCCGGCCCTGCAGGCAGGGACTTAACCTTCTACGCCACAGTGCTGGCCCCTTAAGATGTATATACTTATTTGAAGGGCAGAGTAACAGAGAGGGGGAGAGACAGAGAGAGGTAGAGCTCCATAACAGCTGGGGCTGGGATAGACTGATGTCAGGAGTCCAGAAATCCATTTGGGTCACCCATGTTGGTAGCAGGAACTGAAGTATTTGGGCCTTCATCTGCTGCCTCCCAAGCAATTAACGGGAAGCTGGATTGGAACCAAGTAAGTGGAACTGGAAACTGCACAGCAATACATGGATCCTGGTATCCCACGCAGCAGCTCAATACTACAGTGCCCTCCCCTGGAATATTTTTGATTACTAATTCAGGTCCTTTACCTGTTGAAAGACTTCAGATTTTCTTCATTTTCTAGTTTTGGTAGTTTTTGTGTTGCTAAGAATGTTTCCATTTTGTCTAAGTTATTTTACTGGTTGGCACACAGTTCATAGACATCCTTTACAAATCTCTTAACTTAGTCAGGTCATAGTGATTCTCTTTTATCATTCCAGACTTTAGCAAGTTTTTCTTTTTTGCTTGGCCAGTCTAAGTAAAGGTTTCTCACATTTGTGGAAAACTTGAATGGTCCAACCTTTGGTCCTGTTTTTTTCTCAATTTAAAAATATTGTTGGGGCTGGCACTATGGTGCAGTGGGTTAAAGCTGCCGCTTGCAGTGCTGGTATCCCATATGGGCACCAGTCTGAGTCCCAGCTGCTCCAGTGCCCTGCTAATGTGCTTGGGAAAGCAGTGGAGAATTGCCTAAGTGCTTGGGCCCCAACTGGGAGACCTGGAAGAGGCTCCTGGCTCCTGGCTTCCACCTAGCCTGTCCTAGCCCCAGTTGCAGCCATTTGGGGAATGAACCATTCGATGGAACACCTCTCTCTCTGTCTCTACCTCTCTGTGTAACTCTGCCTTTCAAATAAATCTTTAAAAAATTGTTTGTTTCCTTGATTTCAGTTGTAATCTTTATTATTCCCTTTCTTCTGCTTACTTTGGGTTTGTTCTTTCTTTTTTAAAAATTAATTTATTTGAAAGGCAGAATTAGAGATAGAGAGAGAAGAGGAAAGGAGAGGCAGAGAGAGACAGAGAGAGAGAGAGAGGGAGAACTTCCATTGCTGATTCACTTCCCCAAATAGCTGCAATGGCCAGGGCTGGGCCAGGCCTAAGGCATGAGCCATGTGCACCGTCTGGTTCTCCCATATGGGTGCAGGGGCCAAGGACTTGGGCCACTTTCTGCTACTTTCCCAGGCAGACTAGCAAGGAGCTATATTGGAAGTAGAGCAGCTGGGAATTGAGCCTGTGCCCATGTGGGATGCTGGCACAGTAGATGCCTGCTTAATGTGCTGCAAAACAGCGCTGGCCCCCTCTTTTGGTTAAAAAGAAGCCTATGATGTTGGTTTGAGATCTTTCTTCCTTTCTAACATACATGTTATTGGCCATAAATTTCTTTTTAAGCCTTTCTGTTTTTATGCATTGCTTGAATGAATAAATTACTTTTGGCAATAGCAAAAATGAATGCTGTTGGGCATCTAACAAAAAAGACTAATATTAATAAGTGGCAATTGGGTAGGGAATTCTTCCAGCGTTTTGGATTAAAAACATTGGAAAATCAATAATGAATTGAAAGAATTTTTACTATGGCTTCCTATGTAAATAAAGCTTGAACTATAGTTTTGTAGCCACTTAAATTTTCTAAAAATCTTTTAAATATTTTGGTGAAGAATTTATCATCATGGAATAAAATGTTAAGTATCCATACATTTACATAGTTAATATACTGTTGGATCATTTGAATGGCCTTATGATAGATTAACATCTAAAGCTTTTTAAAAGAAGGAGAGAGTAATAAAAATTCTTTTAATAAAAAGGTCAAAGCTAAAAGTGTTTATGCTGTTTCTCAGGTTGATAGAGGAGTCTCATTTTTATGTGATCTGACATTTTGTATAGTAAAAATTAAAAGAAACAGTTTAAGATATTCAGAGTACTTGTATTTACTTTGCTATAGATTTTACCATCTTCTGCCCTGAGCTAGGAGAGTAGTCAGCTTTGTATTTATTCTGTTGTTCTTTTTTGATATAGGGTAATTTATCTCATGTTTGTCAGGCTGCATTATTCCTTGTGATATGTAAGGTTATAGAAATTTCAGTCCTTTCTTAGAAATAAATTTTTAATACAAAATATTCTTTAAAATTACCTTTCATTTTGCTCAAAATAATCTGTGGTGACTTTTAAAAGATACCTTTAAAATTTGTTAATATATAGGCAACAGACAGTTAAGCTGCCTTAAAAGGTTTCTTCAAGATTGTGTATTGAGATAGACAAATTACAGTGATGTGTCACAGTGGTGAGGGAACATTCTGAGAAATGCATTGTTAGGGATTTCATTGTTGTGTGAACATGGTACAGTACACGATCATAAGTTTCCATGGTGTAACTTGCTATACACTTTGACTGTTCAGTTGTAGCTCCTTGCACTTAGGCTACAACCTGGATAGCTTGACACTATACTGAATACTGTAGGCAGTTATGATGCAAAGGTAAGTATTTGTGTATCTAGTCATATGTAGACATAGAAAAGATACAGAAAATAAACTGGGCAATAATTTTCCAGGACTTCCCTCTTAAATGTGATTTGTTGCTGACTCAATTGTCCTTGTGCAGTGCATAGCCATATGTGTGACAGTTCTGCTTAACGAGTGTATACTAAAGTGACTTTGTTTACCTTATGAAATTGCAATGATAACTATTCTAAGTATGCGCTTGTTGGGGAGAGACATAGCTATGAAGTTATTAAAATTAAAATATTTTTCTTTATTTCAAAAGAAATAATACTCATGCACAATGTCAAATGATATAAAAGGTTCAACTCATTCCTGCTTTTCAGAAGCAGCTGCAGTTGATGGTCTGTACTTCCAGGGCCTATAAGCTAGGGAATGGGTTAAAGAGTGAAATGGGGATTATAATAGACTATAAATACTTTTTTTTCCAATTAGCTGTTTTGCTTTGTTTAAAACCAGGTGTCTGCTTTGGGTCTGGACCCCTCAGGTGCCCGTTTGGTGACTGGAGGATATGACTATGATGTTAAGTTTTGGGATTTTGCTGGAATGGATGCTTCTTTTAAGGCATTTCGATCTCTTCAGCCCTGTGAGTGGTATGTAGTCACTTGATATTTCGCTGTTTTTGTTGGAATTCCATCTATAATGGTTTGTATCAAATACCATAAATTTATATGACTGTGTTGCCTCTCTGAAAGTAAAATGGACCATAATATTTCTTTAGTCTTATTAACTATATTTTTATTTTATTTATTTGTTTATTTATTTTGATTCCAAGATAAGATACCCAAGCCTGCAGTGGACTTTACTTATTTATTTATTTTATTATTTTTTTAAACTTTTATTTAATAAATATAAATTTTGAAAGTACAACTTTTGGATTATAGCAGTTTTTTCCCCCATAACCACCCTCCCACCTGCAAACCATCCCATCTCCTACTCCCTCTCCCATCCCATTCTTCATTAAGATTCATTTTAAATTATCTTTATATACAGAAGATCAACTGTATTTTTAAAAAAACTTTAGAACTTTGATATACATCATTATTTATTTATGTAATTCATTTGAGAAACTGTGAGAATGAGAATGAGAGAGTGAGGAGATAGCAAGAGAGTGTGAGTGAGAGCAAGAACAAGAGAGAGAGAGAGAGAGAGGGCAATATCTTCAGTCTAAAGCCCATATCCCAGAACTCAATCTAGGTCTGCCACATAGGTGACAGGGACCCTACCAGTTGAGTCACCACCTGCTTTCTTTCCAGGGTTTGCATTAGCAGGAAGCTGGGATCAGAAGTGGAGGCAGGAATTGAACCTAGGCACTTAGATTTGGGATGTGGGCATCTTAAGTGTAAAGCTAATCACTGTACCAAACATCTGCCTGTAACCTGTTTTCTTAACAAATATTTAGAATTTTTTTAAAAGATTTATTTATTTATTTGAAAGTTAGAATTACACAAAGAGAGGAGAGGCAGAGAGTGAGAGAGGTCTTCCATCCGATGGTTCACTCCCCAATGGGCCACAACAGCCGGAGCTGCGCCAATCCAAAGCCAGGAGCCAGGAGCTTCTTCCAGGTCTCCCACGTGGGTGCAGGGGCCCAAGGACTTGGGCCATCTTCTCCTGCTTTCCCAGGCCATAGCAGAGAGCTGGATCGGAAGAAGAGCAGCCGGGACTAGAACCGGCACCCATATGGGATGCTGGCACTTCAGGCCAGGACATTAACCCACTGCGCCACAGTGCTGGCCGAGCGCGCCACCAGCCCTCCCCCCCTTTTTTTAAGATAACTTATTATTGAAAGGCTATGTTTCAGAGAGGCAGAGGCAGAAAGAGAGAAGTGTTCTCTCTGCTGTTCCACTCCCCAAATGTCTGCAATGTGGAGGATGGCCCAGGTGCTTGGGTCCTGCGCCTGCATGGGAGACCAGGAGAAGTACCTGGCTCCTGGCTTTGGATCATCGCGGTGCGCCAGCCACAGCGCGCCGGCCGCAGCGGCCATTGGGGAGTGAACCAACGGAAAAGGAAGACCTTTCTCTCTGTCTCTCACTGTCCACTCTGCCTGTCAAAAAAAAAAAAAAAAAAAAAATGGCTGCAAGGGCTGGAGCTGGGCTTGTCTGAAGCCAGGAGCCAGGAGCTTCTTTCAGGTCTCCCTTGTGGGTGCCATAGCACTTGGGCCATCTTCTGTTGTTTTCCTAGGCCATAACAGAGAGCTGGATCAGAAGTAGAGCAGCCAGGACTTGAACCAGTGCCAATATGGGTGGCAGCTTTACCCACTACGCCACAGCACCAGCCCCAGTGTCTAGGTCTTGATCCATGCTGCACTATCAGTTATGGTCAGCTATCATAATGTATTCTCTTATGTGTATTTTTAAAAAATATTTAATTATTTATTTGAAATGCAGGGAGAGAGAGAGATTTCTTCCATTCACTTGTTTTTCTCCAAATGACTGCAAGGACCAAGGCTGGTCCAGGCTGATGGCAAGAGCCTGGACTCCCTCTGGGTCTCTCACGTATGTAGCAGAGACCTAAGCACTTTGACTTTCTCAGGTGGATTAGCAGAAAGCTGGATTGGAAGTGGAGCTACCAGGACTTGAACTGTGTGCTGGCAGTGTGCACAGTGGCTTAATCCGCTATGCAGGACGCTGGCCCTGTGTTATCTCTATTTTTGACCATATCTGATATTTTAGCAGATTGCTTCCTTTATCTCCTCTTCGATATTTCCTATAGAGGATCAAAGGTTTGATCATAATCCATATGGTGTAACATCAGATAGCATGTAGTATCTATTTGCTCCACTATTAGTGATGAGAAATTAAGATAGATTCCTGGATTAAGTTGCTGACTTCTGATTCCTCCATTGTAAAGTGGATATGTTATACTTGAGCTGCGAAAGCATTTGGTGGAGAGGTACTAATTCTGTTATTTCATCTATGTTTATTTGTTGTTATGCTTCTGAAGACGAACTTTTTCTTGGAAACTGACATTATTTGGTTTCCCTGAAATCCAGTTCTTATTGGAGAAGTGGGATAAGTGCTTAATTATCTCCATTTATTTAACCATTTTCAGTTTTAGGGCTAGGGGTGATAAATGAGTTATTGTTATGGTGATGATGGATTTTTTTCTTTTTTCCCTTTTTGATGATCAGTATTTATGATTTTAAATTTTCATCTGTTCCAGTCAATTGCAGTCATTATTTTTTTTGAAGTTTAAATCATCCCATAGTTGGCCAGTGAGTGTTCCTAATTACTACGTAATTTTGACATGAATTTATAATTCTTTAAAAGCGTGCTTAGATTTGGCATGATTCATATAGGTTTCCTGGTATGTTTCTTTCCCAGTAGCCCTGCATTATTTTTTTAACTATGGTGTTTGGGGACTAAATCAGGGTGCTAGGCATGCATGTTGATAATGCAGTATCATGTCTTCTTGACCTTCTCAGTACAAACAGGTGAAAAATATTGATACTTATGTGTATTTGTGTATGCATGACAAATCAGTGACAAGGCCATTGATTTTTCTGTTTCAGAATTTTAGTAAACTTTTAAAATTTCAGAATAGTTTTTAATTTATGCAAAAGCTACATAGATAATGTAGAGCTCATACATGTACCTCACCCAGTTTCCCTTATGATTAACATCTTATATTACTGTGGTCCATTTGTCACAGTTAAGAAACTAGCAATCAATTACTTTTATTTATTAATTTATCTTCTTTTAAAGATTTATTTATTTATTTGAAAGGCAGAGTTACAGAGAGGCAGAGGTAGAGAGAAAGAGAGGTCTTCCATCCGCTGGTTTACTCCTCAGATGGCTGCAATGGCCAGAGCTGCGCTGATCCGAAGCTGGGAACCAGGAGCCTCCCTCAGGTCTGCCCAGTGGACGCAGAGGCCCAAGCACTTGGGCCAATTTCCACTGCTTTCCTAGGCCACAGCAGAGAGCTAGATTGGAAGTGGAGTAGCCGGGACTCGAACTGGTGCCCATATGCAGGTGGTGGTCTTACCTGCCATGCCACAGTGCCGGCCCCAGTCAATTACTTTTAATTAAACTCCAAAGTTTATTTTGATTTCAATAGTTTTTTTCCCACAATTGATCCCTCCAAGATATCTATATTATGATAGTCTTTACATTTGTTTAGTTTTCTCTGGTCTGATGGTTTCTTAGTCTTTCATTGTTTTTATAATCTTGGCAGTTTTGATAGGTACTAGTTAGATATTAGTGGAATGTCTGTCTATTTAGTGTTATCTCATATTTTCTTGTGGTTAGATGGAGGTTAAGGACGATTTGTGTCTTGTTTCCCGTTTATTTATTTAATCATTTATTTGACCAGTATCAGCTACTGGCTTTTTGTTTTATACCTTGGGTTATAATCTAGTATGGTTATTCCTCAGTATCTTTGGGGGAGGGTTCTAGGAACCCTCACAGATGCTAAAATCCAAGATGCTTGAATCTATTGTATAAAATGGCATATCATTTGCAAATAATTTTTATATACATACTCCTGTGTACTTTGTTTCATTTTACTTTTTTAAAGACTTATTTGCGAAGTAGAGCCATAGACTATAGAGAGAGGGAGAGACAGAGAGAAAGGTCTTCCATCTGCTGGTTCACTCCCCAAATGGCTGAAATGGCCTTAGCTGAGCCGATCCAAAGCCAGGAGCCAGGAGCTTCTTCCAGGTCTCCCACGTGGGTGCAGGGCTGCAAGCACTCAGGCCGTATTTTTCTGCTTTCCCAGGCCATAAGTGGAAGAGGGGCAGCTGCCCATATGGAATGCCAGCACCACAGGAGGCAGCTTAGCCTTCAATGCCACAGCTGGTCATCCTCCCATATACTTTAAGTCATCTCTAGATCACTTACAGTGTCTAATATGATGTAAATGCTATGTAAATAGTTCTTACACTATATTGGTTAGGGAAAATAGTGGTTAGTTTAATCCACAGAGGCAGAACTCAGGGGTATTGAGGACTAGCTGTGCTATATTACTTATTTTGCTGCTGAGGTTGCCCTGTTTCTTTTGTTTTTTGAGTATGTCCTTAAGTTTTGACTTTATAATGCATTCTGCCCCATTCTACTTGTAGTAGCAGATAAAGTCTAGATTCTCAGTGTGCTTGTTGTTCCTGGATTGTCACTGCTTTTAGTCCTCTTCAGCAGACAGAGCTAGGAAATACTTGGCCTGCATACTTACTAGTATGTGCAGCGAATCCATGATTGTTTCTGTATCTGTTGATATACATCTATATTCAGCAGAACATGGGTTCTTACTGATGTCTCTGGCTCTAACTCTTCTTGTTTGAATGAATGCCCATCCTTCTTTTCTGTATCTTTACTTTCCAGCAGTGAGAAACCTGGTTCTCACCATCCATTTACTTATTTATTCAACCTCAATATACATGTTGTAAAACATTTTCAGAATTGTTACTATCTTCTGTTCCAATTAAATTTTATCCATTATAGGATTTTTTATTGTCTTTGATTTTGGTATGCAAATTCAAAGATAGAATTTATATATATATATATATTTTTTAAAGATTTATTTATTTATTTGAATGGCAGAGTTACAGAGAGGCAGAAGCAGAGAGAGGGAGAGAGAGGTCTTTCATCCTATGGTTCAC